ATTTTTTATATGTATATTAAATTTTTTTTATTTAAATTAAAATAATAAAATATTAAAAATTTTATATTATAAATCAAAAAATTGACACTCTCATAGTTAATAAAGTGACTGACCATGGATTTTCACCTTGATTCCACACCTATAGCTGCACCATGATTTCTTCCAGCATTCCAGGTTATTATTTAAAAAAAAAAAAAAACTCACCTGTTCCTGCCTTGGGTGGGACCTAGGAAGAGGAACTGATGGATTTAGACATAGATAAATTTGACGAAGTTTGCAAAGTTGTGCAATTTGCATCACTCGTTACCATTCAATAAATTTGAAATGGAACTCCACCAAAGGTTGCGCGTTTCATTGAAGAAGGTGAGATATTTATTAGATTTGGGGATTGAATTTTTAATTATTAATAATTAATAAAATTAATCTACTAATTATTATCCTTGTCAAAAAAAAAAAATTTTGAAATGTGATTTGGAGTCCGATGTAGGGATAAGTTAAAAAGATATAGACATTCCACCCACCCCATGGATGCCGGCCCAAAAGAAAAGGACACCCATTGAAGTTCTCCACAATGACCTTAACAAGCTCTATACCACTTGTATCAAATTAAGGAATTTGAAATTTGATTTCGAGTCCACACTCATACCAGTAATATTATAATTGTTTTTTCTGCCAAGTTTTGGGAAAATTTTTGTGCGGTGTATCTGTTAGACTTTTTATTTCCATTAAGTGAGAATTTAATTTTGAGTCTTATATTAATGAAAATGATCTAATTAAATTAATTATATGCGTATTAGGATATTTTTAGAAAATTCATAATACTCTTAATACAAATTTACAATTACTGTAATAGTTAAATTGTCATTTTTTTGGATGCTGTTAAATTGTCATTCATTAAACCTTAAGAACGGTTGAAAAACCTAATTGAGGAAAATAAGGATTATAAACATGTTGCTAATCTTTTAAGTTAAAGTCATCCAGTAACAAGTGAATTCGTGTCTCTATCTTAAATCTTTAAAAAACTAAAAAATTGAACCCATCAAATTACTTTATGCAACTTGAGCATTCTTTAAAGCCCAACAATACATTGTTAAAGGGCCAAATTCAACAAACAAAACCCATGACTACGCTACATTGCGAACGGGCCGGCTCCAAAAGGCCCCTTTTTTTATTTGAGATACCGGCCCTGAAACCCAAATTTCAGTTGTCTACCCTAATACCCACCTTCCATGTCCTCTCTTCACTGCACTGGTGGTCATGATCGCGCCTCCTTCAACTGCCAAGAACGAATACACTTAAATTCTTCTTCTCGCTCATTCAATAAGCCCAGAAAATGCGTGGGTTCCTCTAGCTACAAAATACATCAACTTTTGCCTCCGATTTTGGTA